AGAGAGAGAGAGAGAGAGAGAGAGAGAGAGAGGGAGGGAGGGAGAGGGAGAGGGGTGGCACCTGGGTCCAATTCCTGGAGCCAAAAAAAAAAAAAAGAGAATAAATATAGATATATGCCAAGATACCAGGCTGTGCTCCATACATATGATATGTTCAAATATTATCTTGACAAGTAAGGTAACTAACACTAAGTGACTGGAATCTGGTAGGTGTGGCAGAGACTGCTGGAAGTCCCCTCAATATCCATTCTCCCTTGCTTCCTTGGTAACAAAACCTTAATTTTATTCAGTGAATATATATCTATCAAAATGACTATACCTAGGTTCTGTGCATGGAAAAGTGGCCAATAATCATGTAAGTAGATATTGGTTGAGGCATACAGAAATTTTCCATTAGAATAAAAAGTTAGGAAGTGTCCTTTTAAATATTTTTATGTCTTCCTCTAGCTACCTACCAGAAATGTTGACAAGTTTGCTCTAAATATAGTAATTTCTTTTGTTATTGGTAATAATAAAGAAAATTGAGAAGGGAAGCCAGGGGCTAAGCATAGTGAAGCCCAATAAGATAGACCTGGTAGGCAAACAATTAACAGCAAAATAAATTTGGGCCACTTCCTGTTTTTCTAAATAAAGTTTTCTTGGAGCAGAGCCATATTCATTAGAGAAACCCTCAAAAGACCAGATTTTGAAAGTATGCTTAGTAAAGAAGTCAGGGCACTATCCTGAAGGCAGTAACAAAGAATGAAAAGACTACTAGAAAAGAAAAAATAAAGTCAGAAACCTGATCAAACTTGCATTTTGGAAAACAGGTCAATATCTAAATTTATTTTTTTCTCTGTCTTCTGTTATTAAAATAGCTTCTTAACAGCTTCTTGAACTCTCTCCTTTCTTTAACCCGGCCAATTCTCATATTCCATTTGTTTTTCTTGAATGGTCATAAACTAAAGTGACTCCAGAGGCCTGATGACTTACCAACAAGTTAATTAATAAATTATAGTAGTAATGATAATCAATCCCATCAGGGCACAGAATCACTTATGTTGTCCCTAACTTTTAAGGGGCAACATACATTATTCATTAAATAATGTAAGTTAAATAATTGATTATAAAATATAATATCCAAACAAATAAAACAGTGATGGAGTGATGAAATGAATGAGTATGAAATTATAAATTGAATCACCAGATTTTAAATCACCAGATTTAAAATCTAAGGATTTTAAATTTGAGTTTCATATACTTAAATGAACTGAAGTGCAGATGGAGAATAGTTTTCCAGTCAAATATTTTAACTAGTGGAATCAATATATCCCAAGCTTGTCAAAAGAGACATGCTGCTGGTATAATATCAAATCCAGAGGCACCGCTATTCTTCATGCCTCAGACTGTGATGAAAATGATGGCAGCACTTTCTCATAGTCTCTGCTTCTTCATAAATAGGTAGAAAGAATGCAACCTATTCAACTGAGAATCCCTATGGTGCATTCACAGATTTCCTGTTTCCCTGCAGAAGGTTTTCTTTAGGCACATAAAATGAGTACCAGGAGGGATCCACTTTACTGGCTTTTGGAAATCAGTCTAATTCTGGCTTTCTCATCTAGTCAACAGATGTGGCACTTTGCCTAGTTGGTGGCAGAAAATAATTATGTTGAAGGAGTTGAAGAAGGTTATTTGGCCTATTGTACCTGGGCTAAAACATTCTTCATAATTAAGAAAGGAGTCATTTACCTTGTGAAGAAGTTATTAGTCATGATCTAAGTAAAAGAGTCTTCTGGGTTGGATGCATTGTTAGTCACATTAAGTATAAATATTTACAAACTTATCACAGGTCAGTATGTCATGATTCCAATCTTCAAATAATAGTTGGTAAACATTATGGCACATTGAAGAATACATGTATACAAATGTATACAAAAAGATGTTATGATGTCTGAAAATATTGACTAGGAAGGTCATGAAACTCAAATTATAAGGTAAGCAGTGAAAAAATAACTTGGGGGTGAGAAAATGCAGGGTCATATCATAATCATATAATTGCTTAATGAAAAGTAAGATCAAATTAAACAGAATATTAATTCTATAATTTGATTTATAGTTATTTCTTTATTTAACCATGAAAATAATTTAAAATAAGACCCAATGTTGTCCTAGGCATATTCTCAGAATCTGGGTATGTAGTAATGTGTTAAATAGATATTGTAACTTAATTCCTGGCTCTTGGCAAAAGGGAAAGATCTATATTAAATAATCCAATTATACAAACAAATAATTGTGACCTATTATCAGTTATATGGGGGGAGGGAGAAGAGGCAACCAGATTCTGTAAGAGAGTACACCAGGATTTCCTGATATAGTTTGGGATGTTCAAAGAGCAACCTATAAAAGAAGATATATTTAAACTAAGTAATAAAAGTGGATTAATAATTATACACTCGAATAAGGTCAAAACCATTCTGAGAGCCTAGAACTGAGAAAAAGTAGAAATACTAGAAGCTCTCTGTTATGACTCAAATATGAGGTGTCCCTCAAAAGGTCATGTATGAGACAATGCAAAAAACTTAGAGGAGAAATGACTAGGTTATTTAAGAGAACCTCAGTCAGGGTACTAATCCCCTCATATGTATTAACTAGATGGTAACTATAGGCAGGTAGGGTGTGAAGTGGGTCACTGGGCACAAGCCTTTGGAGTATATATTTTGTTTTAGGTGAGTCAAGCTCTCTCTCTGCTTACTCATGGCCATAGCCTGAGTTGCTTTCCTCTGCCACAATCTGCCCCCATGGTATACTGCCCCAACTCAGGTCCAGAGCTATGAAATCAGCCATCTGTGGACTGAAACCTTGAGATCAAAAATGAACTCTTCTTCCTCTTATTGTTCTTGTCAGGTGTTTTAGTCATAGCAGTGAAAATCTGACTAAAACACTGTCTAAAGATGACAACTGTGATTGGACCCCGGTGAATAAAAAGCAGTAGGCCATAAGAGCAAGCTGGAAAAATAACTGTAGAACTAGATGGGGGAGAGTCTCTAGAGGTCATATTACGGATAGTAAAACCTGCCATAAGTGATTATGAAGGTACTGAAATATTTTGTGCAAATGATTAACATTTTTCATG